GTCAGAGCTGTTCTTGAAAAAAGAGCAGTTTCTGTCAAGAGTTCTTTCAGCCCCACCTACCTCACAGGGTGTCTGTTCTGGGGAGGGGAAGGAGTTTGTCAGCCGCTCTGACACTCCCTTGGGTAGTGAAGGGTGGGGTATAAATCCAATCTCCTCTTCTTCTTCTTTTACCTCACAGGGTGTCTGTTCTGGGGAGGGGAAGGAGTTTGTCAGCCGCTCTGACACTCCCTTGGGTAGTGAAGGGGGGGGTATAAATCCAATCTCCTCTTCTTCTTTTACCTCACAGGGTGTCTGTGGTGGGGAGGGGAAGGGAAAGGAGTTTGTCAGCCACTCTGAGACTCCTTTGGGCCACCTTCAAAAATGCCCTTGAATGCCTTGAGAGCCAATTTGGTGTAGTGGTTAGGAGCGCGGACTCTAATCTGGGAGAACCAGGTTTGATTCCCTACTCCACCACATGCAGCTGCTGGTGTGACCTTGGGTCAGTTACAAGTTCTTTCAGAGCTGTTCTCTTAAGAGCAATCCTCAAAAGAGCTCTCTCAGCCCCACCTACCTCACAGGGGAGGGGAGGGGAAAGAACATTGTAAACCATTCTGAGACTTCTTTGGGTAGTGAAGGGCAGGGTATAAATCCAATCTCCTCCTCCTCCTCTTTTACCTCACAGGTTGTCTGTTGTGGGGAGGGGAAGGGAAAGGAGTCTGTAAGCCGCTCTGAGACTCCTCTGGGTAGTGAAGGGTGGGGTATAAATCCAATCTCCTCCTCCTCTTTCAAAAGTTTGACTCTCAAAAGCTTGCACGTGTATGTATGTGCGCATGTGGGTGTGTGAAGCGCCATCAAGTTGATTCCGCCTTACGGTGACCCTATGAATCAATGACCTCCAAAACATCCTATCCTTAGCAGCCTTGCCTGGGCCTTGCAAACTGAGTCAAATCCATTTCCTGTTGGGTCTTCCTCTTTTTCTGCTGTCTTCCACTTTTCCTAGTATTATTGTCTTTTCCGGTGACTGTGGTCTTCTTCTAATCTGGCCAAAGTAGGATAGCCTCAGTTTAGTCATTTTAGCTTCTAGGAAGAGTTCAGGTGTGACTTGATCTTGAACCCACTTATCAGTCTTTTTGGGAGGTCCATGGTATCCATAAAAGAAGATGAGATTGGATTTATACCTTGCCCTTCACTCAGAGTGGCTTGCAAACTCCTTTCCCTTCCCCTCCCCACAACAGACACCCTGTGAGGGAGGTGGGGCTGAGAGAGCTCTGACAGAAACGGCTTTGTCAAGGACAGCTCTGGCAGAACTATGGCTTGCCCAAGGTCATCCAGCAGCTGCAAGTGGAGGAGTGGGGAATCAAACCCAGTTCTCCCAGATCAGAGTCCACGCACTTAACCACTACACCAAACTGGCTGTCACACCAAACTCTCCTCCATCACATTTCAAAGGAATCTCCTTTCTTCTTGTCGGTTTTCTTCGTTGTCCAACTTTCACACCAAAACGTGGCTTCCAGTGGAGTACCGAGTCAGGTTCAAGGTCTTGGTGATGACCTTTAAGGCCCTGAGTGGTCTGGGACCAACGTTTCTGTGGGACCAACGCCTCCGCTATGTGCCCGGGAGAGCTTTGCACTCCACTGATAACAACTTGCCGGAGATCCCTGGCCCTAGGAATGTCCGGCTGTCCCTGGTCAGGGCCTTTTCGGTCCTGGCCCCAACCTGGTAGAACTCTCTGCCAAAAGACACCAGGGCCCTGTGGAACCTAGTGCCATTCCGCAGGGCCCGTAAGGCAGAGATGTTCCACCAGGCTTTTGGTTGAGGTCAGCAACGGTCGGTTGCATTGGCTGGCACCCTTCTCTCCTCTCCCCCACCCCCCCGGCTTTATATTTCAAGTTCGCTCTCCGCCCCCTTCCCATTAAATGGCCGCGCAGTCCAGAGTTGGAATAGAAATGTGTTAAGTCGCCACCTTGGATCTTTTTACTTTGGTTTTAGTTCTTATCAAACTGCATATGGGAATTTTTTTAAAAATGCATCTTTGTTTTATGGCACCGTGCCCCTTGTACATCGCCCAGAGCCCGATAGGGCGATTAATAAATCAAAATAATAATTAAAAAATAATAATACTAATAACAACAATGGGGAATACTATAGTATGAATTAGCTTGATCTTGGTTGCCAGTGATGTGTTCTTACGCTTGAGAATCTTTTCTAGCTCCTTCCGAGCCGCCCTTCTCAGTCTCAAGCAGTGTTCCCTCTAAGCTGGGTTAGTGTGAGCTGGCCTCTGGCTGACACATTTTTGTCTTAGCTCAGGAAGGACAGCTCCAGAGCAAACTAATTTACGCAGCAGCCAAATCGCTGGCTCACAACCTTAATGCCAGCAGCTCACAAAGTAGAATTTTTGCTCACAAGACTCCACAGCTTAGAGGGAGCATTGGTCTCAAGTCTCCTGATTTCTTGGTTGCAGGCTCCCTTTGGGTTGGCGATGGAGCCAAGGAATAGGAAGTCTTCCATTTCTTCCTCGTCCACCTTAAAGTTTTGTCATTCCCCCGTTGTCATGGCTTTTGTTTTTCTTATTGTTCAGCGGCAATGCCGTTTGGCACTTTCTGCTTTGACCTTCATAGGTAGTCGTCTCGAGTCTTCACTCAAACGTTTATACCCTCCACCCCCAGAAAAAAACCCTTGCTCTCTCTAAAGTGCTAATGGACTTCATCTAGGGTATGAGAAAGCTTTAGTCTTAACAAAGAGGAAACCACAGAACTTTTAATGAACAGGCCATGGCTTAGCCCTGGAAATAAATGCTCAAAGGCCAGGAACAGATGCAGCACTTGTGTAGTAATGGCAACGGCGGCTGCTCCTTAATAGCCACAGCTTCCCTCTGTGCAAGTTGGACCGTCGAGAGACTGGGGTCCTGAATGCCTTTTGGGGGCTTACTGTCCAGTGTACACAGCACCCTTGCGAAAAGGTATAATGGACAGGTATCTTCCCCTTCCCGGTTTCCTCTGCAGGTGGTGAATGGCAGCAAGTTAAAGGCCGTTTCCTGGCCGTCAACGTGACTTCCATGAGCAGCGCCTGCCCCAAGAGCCCGGAGGGTCTGTCCCCCTGCGCCCACCTGGCCGACGGAACTGCCGACCTCATCCTGGTGCGCGAATGCTCCACCTTCTCTTTCCTGCGACACCTGACAAGGCACACCAACTCCTCGGACCAGGTATGAAAAGTGCGGAGGGAGCAGGCTCTCTCCTCTCTTGCTGTAGCGTGGTCAGAGAGCCAGTTGGGTGCAGTGGTTAGGAGCGCAGACTCTAATCTGGGAGAACCGGGCGTGATTCCCCACTCCACCCCATGCAGCTGCTGACGTGACCCTGGGTCAGTCACAAGTTCTTTCAGAGCTGTTCTCTCAAGGGCAGTCCTCGAGAGAGAGCTCTCTCAGCCCCACCTACCTCACAGGGTGTCTGTTGTGGGGAGAGGAAGGAAAAGGAGATTGTGAGCCGCTCTGAGACTCCTTCAGGGAGTGAAGGGCGGGGTATAAATCCAATCTCCTCTTCTATTTCAAACTATAAGGTTGTAGCCCTCATGAGTTACAACTTGATTGATATTTGAGTATCAAAATTTGGTATTTGGAAACCTTTTTACAGAAGCTTATGTGTAGATTTGCCACCAGAGTTACATTTTCATTTATGTTCTATATACACAGGGTTCCCCCCTCCCTTTTTTTTATTTTTCTTTTTAATGAGGTATTGGGCTTAAAGTTTTTCCCCCCTTCATGTTATTTTTTGTTTTTAATGAAGAAATGGAAAAAGATTTTAAGCCTTTTTTTTCACCATCAAGTCACAGCCAACTTATGGAAACCCCTTTGGGTTTTCAAGGGAAGAAAAGGAAGAAGAGGGAGGGGGGGAGGAGGAGGAGATTGGATTTATACCCCGCCCTTCACTACCCAAGGGAGTCTCAGAGTGGCTTACAAACGCCTTTCCCTTCCCCTCCCCACAACAGACACCCTGTGAGGTAGGTGGGGCTGAGAGAGCGCTTGACAGAAACTGCTCTTTTTCAAGGACAGCTCTTATCAGAATTATGGCTTACCCAAGGTCATAGCCAGGTGCATGTGGAGGAGTGGGGAATCAAACCCGGTTCTCCCAGATTAGAGTCCGCGCACTCAACCACTACGCCAAACTGGCAAGAGATGGACAGAGGTGGTTTGCCATTGCATTCCGCTGTGTAGTGAAGTGTATCTTTCTCAGTGCCCACCAGGACCATCAACCCTGCTTAGCTTCCAAACTCTGACAGGATCGGGCTGGCTTGGCCGCCCAGGTCTGGGCCTCGCCCTCACATCTACCGGATGAGTTGGACGAGGTGGCCGTGGCTCCCTTCTGTATCAAACGATGAACAAGACCAAGATCTGTCCACGTACAGCTACACAATCATTTCCTGTCACATCCAGTGTTCTCTCTAAGCTGAGTTAGCGTGAGCTAGCTCACATTTTTTAGCCTCCAGCTCACACAAAGCAAATTAATTGATGCAGTAGCCAAATCACCGGCTCACAACTTTCATGCCAGTAGCACACAAAGTAGAATTTTTGCTCACAAGACTCCACAGCTTAGAGGAAGCATTGGTCACATCCATACGACCGAAATGCAATGAAACTATAAGGAACTCAGTCTTTGAGTCCTGCTCTGTAGCAGAGGTTGCAGGTGGCTTCCTTTGGAGCTCTCTTCTCCTGGAACGTCTGGTATAGTTTTCTCTTCAGAGGGTAGCCAGGCTGGGTCTGCAGTAGAACCCCTAAATTCCAGCCCAGCAGCACCTTAGAGACCAAGGAGATTTTGCGAGGTGTGTGAGCTTTTGCAAGTCAGTGCTCCCTTGGTCGGATAGGGTCCCCAAGGTGCTAGGGCACTCAAATCCAGCTGGTACAAAATTTATAACTCTAAGAGCAGAGTGGGCTCTAAGACCAGAGTGGGGTTCAAGAGAGGCTGGCCTTCGCTGTCTTGTGTCAGTTCAGTGCCTGTGCACTTAGTACAAGGGGCCTAACGACCATCCAGTCCAGCCCCCTGCACCATGTGGGACATCCTAAAGCATCCTTGGCAAATGAGCCTCCAACACCCACTTAAACACCTCCAAGGAGGGAGAGCCCACAACCAGTGTTCCCTCTAAGCTGTGCATGTGAGCGGCCGCTCATTAATACAGGAAGCCCCACTCAGCAGCATTCTGGAGCCTTGCAGGGTCTTGGAGTGTCCGTGGCCCATTTTAAGATTACAATATATGAGAGATCATGGGGGAAGCAGTTAAGAAGAACAAAAATACAGCCGTGATAACTCAGTGTAACATTGTATCATCAATGAATATTGTTTACCAGACGCATTCATACAAACATATACATGCAAGTTAGAATGGATA